ATACTTATCATCCTACTTTTTATTGACATTCTAGCTGTTTTCTTCCACTGCCACAGGTGAGAGAAGATTTCTGCATTGCCAAAATGTCCTCACGTTGCAATTTTCCATTCCTCTCTGGACAATTCCAAATCCGTTTTCTTGTTCAGCAATTTGGGTCAGGTTTTTTAAGAAACATTTGAGCGGACTCTAATGATTGGTTCTGCATTATTATTCTAGTGTGTGCTAATTTCTGAGGCATAAACAACAAGGATGATTTTTGCCCTAGTGCATGTATGTTTTTTTTTAATTTTTTTTTTTGTGGTTATTGCATCCATATTTTATCTGTAGTTGCAACCTTTTTGGCATCTAATTGCATATTTGGTTTCTAATTATAGAATGTTATGAGGCTTCTGTTATTAATTTTTTATATTGGACATACTTGTTAATATGTTGCTATAGGAAACAATGCTTTGCATGATTTAATCCTTACCTGGGCCACTTTTCCTCTTGTAATCTTTCCAGGTGGTAATTATGATAATAATTCCTCAACTTGGGGGCTCAAGATCATTGAATACAAAGAATTTGTTGAAATTTGTTGTGTTCTTCCAATACGCACCAAGGGTTCTCCGAATATATCCTTTGTACAAAGAAGTCACTAGAACTTCGGGCATTCTTACTGAAACTGCATGGGCTGGAGCTGCATTTAATCTTTTTCTCTACATGCTTGCCAGTCATGTAAGTCTTGTAACAGGCTTCATTTTATTTTTTTTGACCAAATTATATGCCCTCCTGTAAATTTGCTTTGGGGAAGTCACTTCTAAAGGTTTAACAAGATTTTTCGTTCTATAATTTTTTGTTTTATATATATCAATTTTTATATGCATTATAAAATCTTTCTTGATCTTGAATTTAGCGTGTTCACTAAAAATGTTTTTCCTATTCTAGTGTTATTTTATCCGTTATCTTACAATACTCTCTTTTGGCTGCTCTTAGCTACTGGGAGCCTTTTGGTACCTGTTTTCTATTGAACGCGAAACTGCTTGCTGGCGAAAAGCTTGTGGAAGTACGGCTGAATGTGTCCGTGCTTCAGTGTATTGTGATGACAATAATGTCGGATTTAGCACATTTCTGAATAATACCTGCCCTATACAGACACCAAATGCAACACTTTTTGATTTTGGGATATTCATTGACGCTCTGCAGTCTGGTGTTGTCCAATCAATGGATTTCCCGCAGAAATTCTTCTACTGTTTCTGGTGGGGACTGCAAAATTTGAGGTATGAACATATAAGATGGTATATGTTCGTCTAATTTCTACTCGTGTTTCGAATAAAAATTGCAATGTTCTTTTCTTAATCACTGGTTTGTGTTGTACTCGAGTTGTACTTGTTTGACATTCATTGAAGCCAAGACCTAAAAAAGGAATGAAAAAAGGATGATCTATTGGAACATGACCAATACCCTTTATCTTTTGATGATTGAAGTGCATGCCACGAATATCAGATGTTAGATTTACTACTGTAGTTCACATGTGCGATTGGTGTTGCATTATACATAGCATGAATGCAAAGTTGAGGAAAGTTTGGTGACACCAGTTCTTCTAGATCTTCGTTGCTGGAAGAGAAAATTTATTAATCTTTTTTTTTTTTGGGGTAGATAAGAAACCCAATTAGCCTTTCAACTATTTCATTTCAACAGATGGTGCAAGGAAAGCAGGGGAGGAGGGAGGGAATCTTGGCTGATAAGGTTCTTATGTCACTTTTTTTTTATAGGAGGGTTTTCTTTGAAATGCCCTCCTTTCACTTGCTTCTAATCCTTTGAGACTGGATGTGTGAGCCGAAAAGACAGAAAAGTAATTATGATTCATGGCAAGTGCTATCTCTCTCTCTGGCGCTGCCCTTATATATGCATATAGATATATGAGTGTTAATACCGGTATATATAAATATGTGTGTATGTATAAGTTCGGATTATTGCTAAATATTTCCATTCTTGTTTTTGCTGGTCAAATGTTATTTATGGTTCTCTTATTTTCAATCTTAGGAGTATGGAATTTTGGTTTTAATTCTCTTGTTACTACTTTTATGTACAATTGACCTTATTCTGGTGGATAATACATTTTTATGTTTTTTCATATTGGTTCTCAAATGCACGGGCTTCATATTGTCATATGCTAAAGCTTATCTGATTTTGACCTTTTTTCACCTATGTATGACTTCTGAAGTATTATTTGGATATTCTGGTGCCATTTTGCAGTTCTCTTGGTCAAAACCTCAAAACAAGCACCTTTGTCTGGGAAATTTGCTTTGCAGTTTTTATTTCCATTTCCGGCTTGGTGTTATTTTCATTTCTCATTGGAAATATGCAGGTACTGTAAATATTCCTACATAGCAACTTTTATTTGTTCTTGTGCAAGAATGGGAGGTGGTTTTAAGATCTGTTTTAATTTGAGACACATTTACTGCAACAAGATGGTAGATTTTTGAAATAGTTCTAGATAATTGGTACTTACTACCACTTGCTGCATCTTTACAATGAGATAACTATCTTGTTGTTTAGTGTTGTAATGCTGTGGCTAAATAATAGGTGCACATGTCATGCCTCATCATATCATGGATGTACTTCTCAGCATTGAATGGATCTGTATTCTTCATAAAGGCCAAGAAAAAAGATGTTTTAAATGGACTGTAATGGAATGTTTTAAATCATGAGATCATATCTGGATTGATTTTCTTTCAAGAGTGGGTAAGATTGTGTTGGGGAGGGGTTCACTTAGTGAGATGGTCTGAATACTTTAAGGCTATAATTTTTGTAGGACCAATAAAATCTAGTTTTTCTTGGTAAGCTATTCGTTAGTTAATCAAATGTAAGTAAAATTGTGGTGCAACAGACATATCTGCAGTCAACAACGATAAGACTAGAGGAAATGAGAGTGAGAAGGCGAGATGCAGAACAATGGATGTCCCACCGTTTGCTTCCTGAGAGCCTGAGGGAGCGAATCAGACGTCATGAACAATATAAATGGCAGGAAACTAGAGGTGTTGATGAAGAAAATTTGATCCATAACCTTCCCAAGGACCTAAGAAGAGATATAAAGCGCCATCTCTGCTTGGCTCTGCTTATGAGAGTGAGTTCTTTTGCTTTTTCTGATTGTTTAATGTTGTGTACTGTACCCTTGCAAGCACTGTGATTTGACATTGTTGATAATCTAAGATTATCTGCCTTTTGTGCTTGGCATCTAGGCTGCAATGACTACATTTCAACCAATGTCAAGGTGCTTTGGAAAGTAATAAGAAATTATTTTTCAATTGAGTATTTCATTCATTGTTCTGCCTCCTTTTCTTTTTTAATCCCTACTGGTTATCTCAGTGGTGATTTTGGCATCCTTTGGTTGGTATGATGAGCATCTTATTGCGTTCAAGCAATGTCTAAAAACAGTGAAGTATTGGGAGTTCCACGTAAGCTGACTAAAGGAGCTGAATTATCATGTTGTCAATTATCTTATACCAGGTCTTAGGACTGAATTTGATCGCCACAAGACGTTTAGCTGATACATTCCCCCTTCCCGTTAGGAGTAGGCTAGACCCCTCGATGTATATGCAAAATATCTCATACATTTTTATTGATTGTTTGAAGGTGCCGATGTTTGAAAAAATGGACGAACAACTGCTAGACGCAATGTGTGACCGACTCAAGCCAGTGCTCTACACCGAGGATAGTTTCATTGTGCGGGAGGGGGACCCAGTTGATCAGATGCTGTTTATAATGAGGGGAAAGCTGTTGACAGTGACCACCAATGGAGGAAGGACTGGCTTCTTTAACTCAGTTTATCTCAAAGCCGGCGACTTTTGTGGAGAAGAACTTCTTACCTGGGCTCTGGATCCTCATACGTCGTCTAACCTCCCAATTTCAACTAGGACTGTCCAAGCCCTCTCAGAAGTTGAAGCATTTGCTTTGATGGCCGACGATTTGAAGTTTGTTGCTTCTCAGTTCCGACGACTCCATAGCAAGCAGCTCCGCCACACTTTCAGGTTTTATTCACAGCAATGGAGGACATGGGCAGCTTGTTTTATTCAAGCTGCATGGCGCCGCTACTGTAGGAAGAAGCTAGAAGAGTCTCTTCGTGAAGAGGAAGATAGATTGCAAGATGCATTAGCCAAGGGTGGTGGGAGCTCCCCAAGTTTAGGTGCCACCATCTATGCCTCGCGATTTGCTGCTAATGCGCTTCGTGCTTTACGACGCAATGCTACCAAAAAAGCAAGGCTGCCGGAGAGAATATCACCGATGCTGCTTCAGAAGCCAGCAGAGCCTGATTTTACTGCTGAAGATAAATAGCTGAGTAAGTTTTCATTAATAATTTGTATTAGTTTGTTTTGTTGATTTCAATTGTCAGAGTTTATGGAGAGTATCAGGGCCTCTTGTATATTATGTTGTATACGGAAATATTATTTATATATTGTTTCAATGTTCACTGACTTGATACTTGTAATTCCCCACTGCTTTAGGCCATTCTCTGGAACTAGAATTTAGGCTTCGGAAAATGCTAATTCAATGTAGTTCGTTGAATTAGAAGTGACCTCTATCTAATCTTGAAATTCATAACTAATCTAATGGTTGTATTGAATTAGGTCCCTATAACATTACTCTTTAGGCCCTAGTCGTTTTCAATAATTTTCATGTTGGTTTAATACCTTCTATTTCGAATTTTAAGTCCATTTAAAACCCGAATATATATTCATGATGACCTATTGCCAACTCTAGTACAGAGTTTGCAGGTGATTATGACCATTCAAAACTTACATGATGGTCACTCTGGAAATTCCAGTCTGAAAATAAAAAAAATGTTTTGGTCATTACTTTGGAAGCAACACACTTGACCTAGAGGAGAAAGTAAATGAACAAACACTTGCATTCCCAATCCCAATCAACCGTCTATCATGCTAAATATGATGCCATGGTTTGAATGCCTACTGCACCTCAAAGGCAGAAATAATTGGTGTTGCAGTCTCCAAGTAACTTAGCTGTTCCCTCGCAAAAAGAGTTACATTCGATAGAGCATCGCAGATATGGTTTGATTGAAGATGCAAACTAGAGCAATTATATTTGACACTTGATTCAATTTGACATCCTTTAATGGCATGTTGTTTCCTCCTTTTTTGCCTCTAGTGGGATGATGAAGCAGAAGCAGTATCTGAATTATTTGTATCTATATATAGATGCGTGTGTGTGTGAGGGACATGATTTCTTTGGAAAACTAATGAAGAGTCAAAGCTAATAGAAGCTGGAAGTGGTCAAATACCATAGAAATCAAGCGAAGTTAGGGATTTTGGGTGTGAATTTGATGTTTTGTCCGTATGATTGAAGACGACTTTGGCGAACACAGTTTCTTTAGAATTATAGGCAAATAAAGTTTAATTTCTAGGGTTTATTTGTAGTTCTTTACCGAGAAGAAGAGGAAAGAGTGAGATTTCTCACGTAGTGGTGATGGGTGGAAGCAGCGGGCCACATGATTTTCGGCTGTGTTTGATTTTCAGATGTGTCTGGCTCGCGCTTGTTCGAGTAGTTGGGCATGGGATTTGTTATTGAGTCTCGCTCGAGTGAGTCATTTTCAAGGGTTATTATTCACATTCTAAACCAATGAATCTATTGATATTAGGGAACCCCATTGCAATTTCAGGTCTGTCAAGTCAGGGAAATTCAAACCCAAAGTAAAGGGGTTCAGTGTTGTTCTAGAAACAATAATATTATTATTTGGATATATTTTGTTGATACAATTTGTGGGCCTGGATTGATAGATAAACAATATGGGATGTCGATGTATTTATCCTAGTATTTAAGGACCATTAACAACCATAAAGTTCTTTTTGAAAACTTAGAGATGGGTTGGAGGGGTGAAATGTTATTTTAGAAATATTAAGGTATCCCTTAAAATATTCATCATCAAATAACAGCCAAGATATAATCCCATAATCTCTAGAGATGGGAAATCATTTTAGTTTATTAGATTTCAATTAAGCAAGCTTGCACAAATGTAAACACTCAAATGCTATGCAGCCATAAAGAGGCATTTCAAAATATACAATGAAGTGACTAGATTTATGTTTACAATAGCAAAAGAAGGGAAATTCTGCTCACAATCTCTCAGTCTGATAAGGGTTGTTGGCTTGATTTATTTTATGGATGCACTAATTGCTACCTGCATTACCTCAATCTTCAACATCCACACTGAGAGAATCTACAGAGTTACCTGACAACAATGGTAACTCCACAACATCTTTGTTCATTTCATGATTCTCAGTTGGGATCTCTTGTGGAGTTAGAAAAGGCTTTGGAGGCATTTGCAGGAGTGCAACATCTCCTTCCAGCATCTCCACCACTCTGTGCATAGAAGGACGATCAATAGGCTTCAATTGTATGCACCAGAACGCTACTATGATCATCTTCTTAACCATCTTCTTTTCTTCTTCAGTGGTAGCTCCCATATCAATGTCCTCTCCTTCGCTGTATCGATCATAAACCCACGAGGGGAAGTAAATTTGGCTCGGGTGATCAGCAATTACATTCAAATTCTTCCTTCTGCCCGCCATTTCCATCAACAACATTCCGAAACTATACACATCAGCTTTGTATGAGACACCTCCTATGTTTTTGTAGAACAATTCTGGAGCCATGTAACCCATTGTGCCTCTTGCTGCAGTCAAAGGCACAGTGCTCGCATCTGTTGAATATAGCTTTGCAAGCCCGAAGTCAGAAACTTTTGGAATGAAATTCTCATCAAGAAGAATGTTGTGGGGCTTGATGTCGAAATGTAAGATTTGCATGTTACAACCTCGATGTAAATATTCAATCCCACGAGCCACTCCGAGAGAAATCTCATACATTTTTTCACAACTCAAGGAGACAATTTTTTCTTCTTGTGGGAAAATATATTTTTCAAGAGACCCATTAGGCATGAAGTCATATATAAGAGCGCGGTTTGAACCCTCTGCACAGAAGCCAACGAGTCTCACCACATTAAAATGGTGAATCCTTCCAATGGTAGCAACCTCACTGATAAATTCTTGCCCAGTAGCTTTGGATTTGCCTATCCTCTTCACCGCAACAAGGGAGCCACTTCGAAGCTTTCCTTTAAAGACAGTACCAAAGCCTCCTTCGCCCAATTTTTCATTGAAACCATTAGTCATCTTCCTAATCTCTGAGAAACTATACCTTATGGGCATGAGGTTATTGTGTCTTTGTAGGAAGTCTTCAATGTTGTCATAGATTGATAAGTGCCGCCTTCTCCATTTATATACCACTAATGCGAGAAGAAATGAAATCCCGCAGAAGGACCTTGCTGCAATAAACCATCCTGTGCAAATTTTAATAGAAAAAATTAATGTGAATTCGGAATTTTGAAAAAGAGAAAGATACTTATGGATTACTTTTTTTTTTTTTAGTGGGGGCAGAAAAAAGGGGCTGTATTTATTGAATAGTCTAAACTGCGGTTGCAAGTCAGGCTTATTGAAAACACACTAATTCAAGTCACATTGTCCTTCAAGTCTAGGGCGATTTGAAAATTCGATATTGAATCACATGCCAAAATTACATTGAGGGTCTTAGCTTACCGATTGGTTTGTATACTAGAGTGCAAACATCTGTCAGAAATTCCAAAAGAGAGCAACACCAAAGATAAGATGTTAAAAAAGTTATAGGAAGAGGCTTATAAACATGAAAGAAAAGGAGAAAAGAATAGAGAGAATACTCACATAGCAACCGCTGAACCAAGCCTACATTTTCCAAACAGAGACAATGTCAGCAAACCAAAGTGAAAAATTTTAGCACTGAAAATAAAAAAACTCAAAACACTTCATACTGTGTTATTTAGGAGATTTTTAGTAAGATCATCGTGGTCGTAAGATAGATTTGACATGTTTTGTAAGTTGGTAATCTTATTCAGTTGAAATTACTTGCAAGAGAATTTTGTAACACTACTACAGTCATTTGATTTCTCATTCGTAAAATCAAAATGATATTATAATTTACTGCCATGACTTTTTAGAAATACCATATATTATGACTTTGACTATGATTTTTCTATTTGCTGCTGTGATCCTATGATATCTTTTGATCCACCAATAGAAGTATTGGTCAACTTAGCGCAGTTCTTATCTTTCATGCGTAATGCAAAAAGCTAATGTGCCTTTACCTTTATCTGATTTTTTTTGGTAATTGTATTTTCCTACTTTATTCGTAAGACTTGCTTGAGAATGCTCAGGACTATAGCCTCAACTTATTACAGCCTAACTATACCCATTAAATCAAAGTTTTCAGGACAATAGTACGTATCTTTTGCAAGAGATAGCCAAGTTAATTAACCAGAAAGAAAATACTTGAATACCTCCGTGTAAATTATGTTAGTACATGTTCTCATGTGTCTTCAGTAATTACACTCCATTTGGTACCATGAAAAAATAAAAAGGAAAGTTAAAGGAGGACTAGATAAAAATCATGTTTAGTATGAAAAAAAATAAGAAGGATGAAAATAAAAATTTTAAAAAATAAAAAAATATATATAATAATTTTTATTTTTCATCCATCTTATCAAATACAAAAGAAAGAAAATGTATCATTCTTATTTTCTTTCCTTAAATGATAAAATGTGTATTTTTTTTACTTTTCGTCATTCTTACAAAATAGAGCATTAAGTTTTTCTATAATTTATAGTTGAAACCAGAAAAAGAAGGGGATAAAAAAAAGATGCTCAATAAAGCCCCTTCTAGGAATCCAGTTCAAACACTTCTCTTTCCTCCACTTAGTAACTACGATCAAACTTATCAAATCTAGCTTACAGTTTACAGTTACTTATTATCATGTCCCCAGCAAAATGAAAAAATGATATCAAAAGGCAGAAATAAATCATTCAATTTTCTTACAATTTTGTAATTCCTAACTTGTAGGGATGCCCAATCAACATGCGTCGGGCGGAAAATTTAGTTGCTTAGAAAGAAAGAGTATAGAGTGTATATTTTCCAGCAAATTAAATTGCAGACAAGAATTATGTTGAGAGCATCAAAGCAATCAAAGTAAAATCTTTACTCACTCACAATGGAATATGCGGGTGTCAAAAGCAAAACTTAGCTCAGCGCAGTAGTCGCAATAGATATTATTTTCTATGGAATAGCACTCGCCGCCTCTTGCTACACAATGTCCACAATAGACGCGATACCATCTAAGCTCAAACCCATATGCGAGCCCGTCATATAAGTCCGAAAAAGAAATGTTGTCTCCCGTCAGGAGCCACCGTAGAATATCTTCTGATGCCAAAACCGAACTGCCGATGTTGCAGGAGTCCTCCAGTTCTGAGAAATCCATTTCTCCTAATACAACATAATTATGATTTTGCAACGGAGATGGTGAAGTAGTGTTGGAGGTGGAAGTAGTGTTTCTTTTATCACAAAAGCCAGTGTCCACATATCCACTCCTATTTACAGGATTCTGGCAGCTTATGAATACAACATCATAATTATTATATGAACCTATGAAAGAAGGAAAGAATCTCCGTGTAAAAATGGAGTTTCTGCTAAAAGAATTATATGGCAGAGAATGAAGTGAAAGAGAAGAGCAATTATCCTTGTCTAGACCGGGATCAACAAGTCGAATGGAGAAGTTGTCATAAGTGATTGCCTCCACGTAGTAGGAGTAGTTGAATTTGTAGTCGTACCCTGCATCAGGAGGACTTTTAAGTTGTAGTATAGCGCGATTGTTGTTGCAGGCAAGTTGGTAGTCGCGAAGACCACAGTGCTGGGGATCGCCTTCCAGCCGGAAAGGGTAGCGTATGTCACGGATATTCCCGCAAGACGAAGTATTGCAGTGCTGATCATGCTTTTGCTGGGCTTTGCAGCACCTACTTGTTAAGCACAATACAATTAGTAGAAGAATTTTTTGGATTACAAGCAAGAAGACCCTCCTCCTCTTTCCTCCTGACACCATAACTAGAAACGCAAAGCTAAGGTGTACTTATCTCTAAATCTTCTTTGATTTGTGGCTTCATTTCATCTGTTTTAGAGCCAGAAAAGGTGAAATGCATACTTCTTTGACACCAAGATGATGTGATTCGTTTGATGATAGTGGGGCCCTCCTTTCATCCAACGGCTTACATTAAGCTAATGGACACTTTTGGTGCACACAGACACATCATTTCGGAAAGAAAAATATTATATAATTCAAAACATACTAAAGAATTAAAATTCAAATACATATGATCTTTTCAATAATTGATAAGATTTACTCATTCAACGGATAATATGTTTTTGAATTATAATTTTTTATATTATTTATAAAAAAATAATAAAAATATGTTGATGTATTATTTATTGAAAACTGATTATCTAATGACTGATTACATAATACTCAACTTTATTTATAAAAAAAATATATTATAATCTAAACTTATTTAGATACAACTTATTGTTTATGTTTCATATTACATGTTGAATATACCTATTCAACTCTTTCAATTTGATAATGTCATTAATAAACATATTCATAATTTATTATGACTCTTATATTAATTCCCTAACAAACTTCTGTTTATGATAATTAAAAAATTTGAGTCAAATTTTAACATAATGGAAATCAGTGATATCCGTCAAACCAATTTTTTTATTATATATTCATTGATGCAAAAAATCTGATTAAAAAAATTATAATTGTTTTTTTAACCATCGACAGGGTACAGTCTCGATCATTAAATTAATGGTTTACATTAATTTAATGCCCAAAATTTGGATGATAAGTGTAAATACTTGCTTCCATATGTTTTATAGTTCTTTGCTAGGTAGGTGTCTTCCATGAAGTGGGGCATTGTTTTATGAGTCAAAGTCAGTCAACGAAGGAACTTATTAAATCAAAATAGGGTTCTCACAAAATCAACACGATTAGATAGATATGCTCCTTTAAGGGGCCCACCTAAAATGGCAAAAAATTAGATAAGACTTTTATCGTATTTATAACACGTCGGGTCGGTAGATATAAATATCTCAACGGCATGTGGTATAAGATTTTATATTCATCCTATTTCAGTTTAATTGTATTGTATATTATTTTTGGTCTTAAATTATAATTTTATCATTTCTCTTGGTTATTTGTCACAAATATTATCTATATAATACCTACTTAAATGTAAAAAAACATTTAGGTCATGAGGGCATTCATATGGGGCATTATACATGAGGGCATTTAGATCTTTTTACTCTATTATACCTCTATGAAATTTATAATGAGAATATTATATCACTGGATATATGATATTGCTTAGCACCGTATACAAGACATAAGAGTTATTGGTCACACCGGGTCAATACTATGACCCGAAAATTAATGTCGAGTAAAAAGTGTCAAACAAACAAAGTATAAGATATGCTCCACGTATTATTTTTCTTATACCAACCCTTTATATCACTCTTACACTTCAAACAAACAGGCCTCAAGTATCAAAAAAAAAGATATAGATACGTCATATGAGAATAAATAAATAATGTCATTGCCTTAAATTGTTAGATCTACTCCACAAGAGAAAACTCAAAATAATTCCAAGTCCTCGCTATTTTTACGTATAAATTTTATTTTGTCAGAAAATAACATAAATAGATATCCCATTCAATTTTTTTTATGTACACTTATTGTGATTGTCTGAAAGATAGAAAAAAAAGTCTGGTAAAAGTTTCGTCAAAACTAATAAGATTAGATATTTCATATATAGTTTTCTATATTACACTTAGGATAGGGGTCTCAAAGAAGAAAAATTTGTTCAATAAGAGTTTCCTCGAAACTAACAAGGCTAGAGTTTCGTTGAATCTAATAATAAGACTGGATATTTCTTATAATTATTTGCCATATACTTGATGTAAGTGTCCAAAGCAAAGAAAAGAAAATTGTCTAACAAGAATTCCCTCGAAACTAACCAAAAACTTCATATAATTTCCCTGGCCGTGCCAGTAAAAGAGAGCACGCCCTATGGGTAAAATGATTGTTATATGAAATGCCGTAATTGATTGGTCTGCAGTTGTGGACCAAAAAAGTGTAAGTCAGTCTACAAAGAAAAGTAAGTAGATTAAAGTCGTCGTAACGAACACGGTTAGATGAGTAAAGGTGCATGTACTGACTTTTCTTTGCTATCGGATTTTGTCAGTCAAATTAACTGATATAATTATAAATATAATTGCATGTTAATGGGAATCAGTGACATCCATCGATCCAATTTTTTTATATATATATTCATTGATGCAAAAAATAAGATTAACAAAAATATTATTGTGCTTTTTGACCATTGAGATGGTACAGTCCCAATCATTAAATTAATGGTTTACATTAATTTAATACCCAATATTTGGATGATAACGGTAAATAATTGTTGCCATATGTTATATGGTTCTTTGTAAGAGTGTAGATTGGACGGGTTGAGAGATCAATCTTAACTCAACTCTAGATATATAATTTTTAACTCTAATTTTAATCCTAACACTACCTCAACTCAAGGTACACAATTTGAGTATTGCCCAAGTTTAATTCGGACGAGTTCAGGTTGAATTCAGATTACTTAATTCGGGCCGATTTCGGGTTAAAAATTAGGTTAACTTGAGTTATTTAATTCGGGTTGATTTTTTGAAATATAGATCTAATTTTTTCAAGAGATTTGAGATGAAGGACGATATGCAGATGAAAAGAGAGGAAATGAGAAAAGGGGGAATAACGAATGAAACAGAAAGTCTGTGACGACTCAAACGAGTGACGATTGAGAAAATGAGACTGAGAGAGGGAGGAGTGACAAGCGAGAGAGATCTGAGAGTAATGGAGACGCAGCGATGAAGACTTGAATTAAAGTGAAAGTCTAGATTCTAAAGAGTGAAAATAAATATTAACTTTAATTAAATATATTTATATATTTGGATTCAACTCGATTTTAATATTTTGGTTCAATCTGAGACTTGTTTAAATTCAATTCGGATCGAAATTTTTTTGTCAAAACATAAAATAGATAAGACTTTTACCGTATCTGTAACATTGTTATACATAGATACCTCATACAAGAATAAATAATAATGTAATAGGGTTTTTTTTTCCAGGGCTACTAAATTTTGTAAATTGGACTTGATAAATTTTGAATAGTACCATGAAAAATTTTGTTTTGAAATTTTACCTTAATACCATCTATTAGAAGTTTTTTTTACTTTTTTTTTTTTGTAATTGTTAGTATAAGGTACCATTTTATAACCTTTTAAAGTATTTTTGTGCTTTTTAATTAATTTTTAAGTTGTAGTTGTATTGTATTTTTTGTTTCTTGCCCTTGCATGAGTTTGCTCTATTCTTCCAAGCTTAATCCTATGTTTAGTAGTACATATATCCATAGATATAACCATATTCTTTATATATTCTAAGATGGATATAGCTCACTTTTCTATTACCACTTTCATTTAAATTAAATATCTATAAGGAAAGGAGAGGCCAAGCAGCGGTCCACACCTTGGAGACAGGTTGGTAGTTCCTTGGAAAATGGCCATCTCCAGCATTCACTTCTTCTTTCTAGTAGTAGTCCTTGCCGGAAGTTGTAGTGCCGGCCAAGATTATGAGTGCAAGGTGACAAAGTGCGGCGAATCCGGGCCAGACATCCGGTTCCCCTTCCGGATAAAAGACCGTCAGCCAGCTCACTGTGGCTATGGCCCTGCCTTTGACCTCTCTTGCACACAAAACAATGATACCGTGTTTGATTATGACCTCCAATTTCCAGTGAGAGCATCGACCAAGAGAATTCTGCTTCCATTATCACTCAAGGTTTTGGTCACGGATATCCACTATGAATCTCAGGGGATGAGTATCAATGTCGTGAATGCAAGTTGTCTCCCACGGTGGCTTCCAATTCCAACCCTGTATAATAATAGTTCATCATCTGCCGGCTCTCCATTCAAGTTTAACCACGTCGATGATCCCGAATGTGGCTATATGCTCTTCAGTTGTCCCTCAAACAAAAATCTCTCACCATACCGTATAGTTCAGGTCACCTGCCTTAGTGGTCCTGGTCACCAAGTGTATGCCGTTCCTACATTTGGTTGGTACAGGTACATCGATGAATCTGTACCGGACCTAACATCCTGCACCAAGATGTATAACATTTCATACGTTCCAAAAAAAATACTTTTGGGGGATGAATCACACCCTACTCAATTTTACACGCGATGTGGTTCACGCCTTTCTGGTCTGGGATGGTCCACACCTTCTTGTGGATATTGTGAAGCAGAAAATAAGTACGGCCGATTGAAGAAAAACAGCAACCCCCAACCTCAAACTGAATGCGTCGACATTCCTATAACTCAACCCAACTCAGGTACTCCTAACTAGTTTTTCTGAGTATTCGTATTCAATCATGTCCCTTACAACATATATATCTCTTCTTTGAATTTAAAATTCTTGTGTCCTTTTCAGATGCATCCTCGCATTCGCATAGACAAGTTGTTGCAGGTGAATATATACGTTTACACTATTTTTTTGTATCGTTATTTGTATCAAGGACTTAAGTGAGAATGGTTTATAATTTGTTAAGTATGCTTTTTGTTGCAGGTATCATCTCAGGTGTGTTCCTTCTTGTGCTAGTCGTTGTTTCACTGTGTCTTGTTATCAGGTCAAATATAAGAAAGAAAGAGGATAAAGTGAAGATTGAAAATTTTTTGGAGGACTACAAAGCCCTTAAGCCGGCAAGATACTCTTATGCTGATATAAAGAAGATTACGAACCAATTTAGGGATAAACTGGGCCAAGGAGGTTATGGAACCGTGTTCAAAGGAAAGCTTTCAAATGATATATTCGTTGCGGTCAAGGTTCTTAAGAGTGTCAAAGGAAATGGAGAAGAGTTCATCAATGAAGTGGGCACAATAGGCAGAATACACCATGTCAATGTGGTTCGCCTTGTTGGATACTGTGCTGATGGATTTAGAAGG